TGCCAAAAATACGGTTTTTGGTGATATTTGAGGTTATATTATTAAAACATAAATTTTTTTTGCTCATTTTCGTTTGTTGCGATTTGGTTTTTCTTTCTCGAGATATACCAGTTTTAATGTGTAGTACTTCGGTATTACGTTGGAAGCATGAGCCATCATAGCACGTGTAGAGGCTATTCAATCGTTAAATACAAACTGTTATGAAAAAGCATCCTTTGGTTTAAAAAAATTTGGTGCTTTTAGTTGTTGTTGTTGTTGTAGCGGCTACAACAACCCCGCCCAGATAGGCTAATATCTCATCGTTGTCGTCAATTTCCACTAACGGCAGCCCCAAGAAGCGTGCAGCCTCTATGGGATCGGTCCATAGGGACGACGCCGTTAGGGTTGTGGGTTTTTCCGGGCATGCGAAGAGATGTTACGAGTCGTGAGGGGTCTCTCCGCATGCCGGACATTCGCTCGGCACATCCGCATTTAACCTACTCAGGTAGGAATTTAGCCTGCAGCAGTAGCCAGAGCGAAGTTGGGCTATTGTTGTCCTGGTCTCCCGAGGCAGATGGAGCTCCGTCGCGTCAATGTCCGGTGTTTGTGTGCCTGGAACGGCATTCACAGGTCTTGAGTCTACATGATTCGAGACTGCGTCCCTGTGAATGCCGTTCAGGGCCTGTCTGTGAGCTGACGGGTCCAGAGGTTGCTTAATGAACCTCTGGACTTCGTCCGTCAGTTCATATAGATGCCTCCTGACGTGCCTCGGCGAGGGCTCCTCTGCAAGCAGCTGTCTATTTCGCTGCCCACTTCTGTGGCTCCCAGCAAGAAACTGCTCGCAGATCATCGTGTTGTGCTCCCTAATTCGGAGCATTTTCGCCTCATCGTGGAGGTGATGTTCTGGTGACATCAGGAGGCATCCGGTCGCTGTCCTAAGTGCTGTATTTTGTACCGTCTGTAGCTTCGTCCACTGCGTCCTACTAGTCCCCGGCGACCACACTGGTGCTGCGTAGTTTAAAACCGGCCGGCCTATTGCCTTGTATGTTGCCAGCAACGTTTCTTTGTCTTTGCCCCAAGTACTGCCGGCTAACGACTTGAGGACCTTGTTGCGGCTCTGTACTTTATTGACAATAGCGGTTGCGTGCGCAGAGAAGGAGAGCAGGCTGTCGAATGTTACTCCGAGTATTTTAGGATTATTCACCGTCGGAATTGGTGTGTCATCGACGTGAATTCCTAGCGGTAGCCTGACCTCCTTCGTCCAGGTTGTGAACAGGGTCGCGGAGGATTTCGTAGGGGAGAGGGCTAGACACTTTGCAGTGAAGAAGCGAGAAATTTCAGAGAGATATCCGTTTACTTTCGAACACAGGTCATCAATTCCATTCCCAGTCGCCATGATAGAGCAATCGTCGGCGTAAGAGACAATCGAGACTCCCTCTGGTGGTTGAGGGAGCTTTGAAATGTAAAAGTTAAACAGTAGTGGGGAAAGGACACCACCCTGTGAAACCCCCTGTTTTACTTTTCTAAGTTTGCTCGATTTGTCTCTAAACATTACCGACAATAGTCGACCACTTAGATAATTTGCCGACCACCGTTTGAGCCTCTGTGGGAGAGAGGAAGCCTCTATATCTTCTAGTAGCGTGGAACGGCTGACAGTGTCAAAAGCCTTTGACAGGTCCAACGCTACTAGAATCGTTCTCTCACAGGGACGTTTACGGTTAAGGCCACGAGTTATATGATTGTTTATGCCGTTAAGTGCTGTTGTTGTACTGTGCACTTTACGGAAACCGTGCTGATGCTTCGCTGGGGTCAAGTGGTTTGTGAAGTACGGGAGTAGTGTCTTCGCTACCGGGGAAAGGAGTGTTATCGGACGATAAGAATCTCCTATGTTGGCAGGTTTCCCCGGTTTGAGCAGTGGGACCACTCTCCCCACCTGCACAAATTGAGAACCTCCGTTAGGTACGCTACCCCCGCAGGACCCAAATTTTTCAGCATCAGCATGCATATTCCGTCGGGACCCTTGGCTTTGGAGGCGTTCGCCTTACCGATGGCCACCTGAACTTCACCGCAAGTGAAAGCAAGGGGGGCACAGGTTGTTGGCAGTTCGTGCAGCCTTCTGGTCACTCGACGCTTGGCTTTGTCCACCGGAGGATGCAGTATGAACTGCCGGCTAAAATAGCTCGCGAATCGCTCCGGGTCCGGCGAAGCATGGTCGCTGAAAGAAATTTCGACTCTGTCGTCGTGCTTCGTCGGATTGGACAGTGACCTCACGGTTGACCAAAGCTTACTCACACCATAGGCGAAGTTGCAGGTCTTCAGATGCTCTTCCCACTTCTTCCGCTTATGTACGTTTACTAGTTGCCGAATCTCCGTGTTGAGATCCCTGATACGGGGATCTCCGGGATCGGCCTGACGAAGGTTGTCACTCTCGTCGGCTAGAACAGCCGCTTCAGCAGGGAAATTTGGGCGTGGGTCGGTGATGCATCCTGCCGGTACGAAGCGGGCTGCAGCAGCGGTGACAGCCCTGCGGAACTTACGTTCACCAAGGTGGACGTCGGTTGGTGTGGGCAGCGAAGGTGTTTGAAAAGTTGATATATGTTGATATATGTTCGGTGCTCCGCGGAAGCAAAGTCGGTGGTCTATCGATCGAGATGACTATGGGCAGGTGGTCTGATGCCAAAGTCAGCATAGGTCGCCATGATATGCTGTTTATCAGACCAGCGCTGACTATGGTGATGTCTGGCGAGCTACTGCAGTTACCCATAATCCTGGTGGGTGCTACGTCGTTCATTGTGCAGAATGTCGATCGTTTGACAGGCTTGAATGCCAGAGATCGTGGTGCGCGTTAAAGTCGCCAACTACCATACGGTTTTCAACTCTGAGGAACGCACCTATGTCAGGGTGATCTCCTACCGGGCAGCAGGTGACAGGGGGTATATAAACGTTAAATATTTCGAGCTCAACATCGCCTGGCCGGATAGCAATGCCCTGACATTCTAGGGTGGTAGCTCTGCGGTCGATGTCTGCTTCGATAAGATGATGCTGCACGGTGTGGTGCGTAATGAACGCTAAGCCTCCACCATTATCCCGCTCGCGATCTCGACGGTGCACGTTGTACCCGGCACAATTCAACTGTGTTGAATTACTGTGCAACTTCGTCTCTTGGACCGCAGCTATCAATATGCTATGCCTTCCCATGAAGACGGTTATCTCCTCGATCTTGCTCTGAAGCCCTTTACAGTTAAATTGAAAGAGCTCCATTTGGTTCGGGAGACGTGTGGTGATGCGGGGTGTGAGGGATGTGGTTGCCGCCCTGTAGTGGTGGTGGGAAGCGTCGCAGTTGAGGTCTGCGACAGAGCAGCGCAGCACGGGCCCTCGAAGTTCCTCGTCCAATCTCGCGTGGTGCGCAGACCTGAGCATGCCCTAAAGTGGCACCAGCCAAGGCAGGTGTTGCACTTGACTGATGTCACATTACGGAATATCCTGGTCTGACATACCGTGCAGATTGTAGGAGGAACCAAGAGTTGTTGGCGGCGGCGTGTGGGTGGTGGTGTGGTTGTGTGTGTTCTGTGGTCTGTAGCCGTTGTGGTGTGGTCTATTGTGTTATGTTGTTGTGCTGTGGTGTTTGTGTGGGACTGCTCAGGTGGACTGGGGTTAGCCGTGGAGGCTACTCTGTTAGAGCAACAGGGGGCCACAAAAGACGTGGTCCACTGCCGATGTGTCCGTAGTCCTGAGCAGACTCTGAGGTGACTCCACCCCTCGCAAGCATTGCACTTGACAGAGGTGGAGCTGTGGTGTAGTCGTCCCTGGCATACACAGCAGGTGTAGGTTTCTGGCCCTGGGTTTGACTCGATGCCAGCCCTGAGTAGGAGAAAACGTGGCGAATGTAGCCCTATGGACGAACAACTTCTGAGATACTTCGGGTAAAACCCGAGTCATTCCGGTACGTAGAACCGGCTGTCGTGGGAATGCTTTTAGTGTGGTAAAACGCTTTATTCCCAAGTTTTTGGTACTTTTTGAAAATCAAATGTTGGCAACACTAACAGCTACTTTTGTTTTCAAATGTTCAACTTGAATAAATTTCCTTCGTCGTTTGATTTTGGTTTCTTCCCCCGTAGCGAATGTCATGCATTAGTCACTTAAGAGTCTTGTACGGAAAAGTTACGTCTTAAATGACTTTGGGCTCCGTTTGTATGGAAGTCGTTCATGACTTTTTCATATAAATGGTAATTTCGTCGTTGAAGTCATCTGCATGACCAAGTCATGCAGTGATCATTAATGACATTCAAGCGACAGTGTCTTGCAATGTACTTTTTATAAGTGACCGCTGCAAGACATTGTCTGTTATAAGTATTTAATAGGAGTACACCTGCATGACCTTGTCACCAATGTCATTGTCAGCTATATGTCGTTTATATTCACAGCAAGTTCGACGATGTCACTAAATCCAATAGCCCAACTTCGCTCTGGCTATTGCAGCAGGCTCAACAGCTACCGGAGCAGAATCAACGAGGATGTGCCCAACCAATGCCCGGCATGTGGAGAGTCGCCACATGACTCCCGGCACCTCTTCACATGCCCTGAGAACCCCACTCAGCTAACGCCCCTGTCCCTATGGACAGCCCCTGTGGAAGTAGCACACTTCATGGGCCCCCCCTTAGCTGAAATTGACGACAACGTTGATGGAAGAACCGCCCCGAACGGGGCTTAGTAGCCGCTACAACAACAACAACAACATGTCACTAAATCCTCATTAGTGACGATGTCACCGGTGGTTCTGTAAATGTGACTTTTTCAATACATATGTAATTGCGCATGTTTGTCAAATTCAGTCTTTATTAAACTATTTAAAAATACGATCTTCGAAAACGAAATAAACTAAACTCAGATGATTCTACCCATGATAAAAACATTACAAAAATATAGTAAGCCCCCAAATAATTCCTAATGGATATTTACAAGGCAGCAGTCATTTTCGAGTAGATTGACTATTCTTTATCAAAAAGTACAAGACATTAATGTTTGCTCGGTGATTTAATTTATTGCTTATTATTGCTCATTATAATGTGATTTAGGTATAGTTGCTAATAATAATTGCTTGACTTTGTACAAATGTATACTATAACGTATTTTATCTATATTTCATTAGCTAACGTACAAAACTATAAAACTCTGTCTTTTACAAACACCCTAATTAGTAAGTTAATATACAATATGGAACATTTGTTAGTACTGCTGATTTCTCTTTCGCTTTTTTATAAGTACAAATATTGCATACTTACATACGTAAATATGTTATGTTAAAGTTTTCCTGAGCATGTATCTTATGCCTTGACAGTCAGACTATTTTGAAAAACTCTAATTTAGTATTTAATCAGAGATAGTACATCACAATCTATTTTATCACGTCCAGCTAAATCTTCCAACTCTATCACTACAATGCTTCCGATAACAGTACCGCCAGCTTTACGCACCAACTCAATCGCAGCCTTCAGAGATCCTCCAGTGGCAAGTAGATCATCAACGATTACCACCTTCTGATTCTTTTTAATCGCGTTTGTTTGCATTTCGAAGGTATCCTATTTAAAAAATTAATTCACTGCTTAAAAGTTAACAGGAGAAACGATTCTACTTTTCATCATACCTTGCCATACTCCAATTCGTATTCAACTGATATTACTTCGCCAGGCAGTTTACCCTTTTTTCGCACTGGCGCGCAACTTAAGCCTAACTCAGTTGCTATCAGCAAGTTTAAGAGGAAACCACGTGATTCTAACCCAACGATGATCTCAGCATCTGAATATTTTTGTTTAATTTGTTGCACAAGCAATTCCTTCAAGTATCTGCAAGCAAGGGGATCGGTCAATGCGCTGAAAATATCGCTGAAAGACCAAGACGTAGAAGAAACATAAGTTGGTGGAACATTAAAAGTGGGTTCAAATAATTACCGGAAAAGAATGCCTTTCTTTGGAAAATCAGGGAAATCACCAATTCTGCTTTTCAGGTATTCCAACTTTTCCTCATTACTCATTTTACGATGATCAAAATTTCCGGTGTCCAATGAAAAATGCTGATTAGATTTAGGGTCAATATGAGGGCAAAAAAA